TTAATTATTTTGATTTCAAGAAGAGAGAAGCATTAAATTTAGTATATTTTGCAATAATTAGTATTTTGAGAAATATTTAAAATAAATAAACATGCCACCCACTAGAGGAGGAAATAGAAGAGCGTCTAGAAAGGGGGAATCTGCACCTGCAAACAATGTTAGAGACTTATTAAATCCAGTTAACGATAATGTGAGTGATAATACGAGTAGTATGTCATCGGGATCAGGATTAGTAAATCAAATGGGTTTGAGCGTCCAAGAATCTATGCCTTCAGTGTCTATAAGAGATATTTCAAATCTTATCCCAAATTTCAATGGAGAGAACATCCCAGTAAACAATTTTATCGATTTGTGCAAACAAGCAGTCTCGCTTGCACCTGCGTCTCACCAAATTTATTTCACACAATTGATAAAATCAAAAATTTCGGGAAAAGCCAGTCAATATATCGCGAATCAGGCTACTTTGACCCTTGATGGTATTTTTGCTAATTTGAAACAAGCTTTCGCACCCCGCCAGACATTATCTCAGTGGCAAGGGCTACTTGCAAATGTTCATCAGAAATCTAATGAAAAAATTATTGATTACGTGGCAAGGATCAATGTTTTGATTCAGGGTATCACAGAATTAGTTCAAGAGAAGTATCCAGTGGACGTTGCAGTCGGGGTTTTAGCTACAACACAGGAGGGAGCTCGGGATAGTTTTATTCGCGGTTTGAGGGGTGAATTGAGTTCACACGTTTCAAATGAAAAACCGGTAAACTTTGAGGCAGCAGTAAAAGTTGCAATTGAAAAACAAAAAGAGATTGAACAACGCAACGATCTCTTCAAGCATGAACAACCCAAAATTTCACACGACTCACAAAATCAGTCGAATCATGCTATTCCAAACAATTCACAAAATTATCACAATCGTCATTTCAAAAATCACGGTCCGTATAATCTGCAGAATCAGTCACAGAAACACATTCCTGCTAGAGTCAATGTTATGCAGACTCAATCTCAGAATTCAGATATTTCATTTAAGAATCCGAGAATTTGTTACGCGTGTGGGAAACTGGGTCACACGATGAACCAATGTCG